AAATGGAGAAATAGTCTTTCCCAGACAAGCAAAATCTGAAAGAATTGATCACTACTAAGTGTCCTGACAAGAAATGCTCAAGGTAGGCCTAAATCTGGAAGCAAAAGGATGGCATTTACCATCATGAGGTCACATGAAAGAATAAAATGCACTGATAAAGCAAATGCAAAAATGAAAGAACTAAAATGGTATCACTAGAGAAAACCACCAAACCACAATGACAAACAACAGGATAAAAAGAAAGGAACAAAAAATACACAAAACTACCTGAAAACAATTAAGACTATGATATAAACAAAACCAGACATATCAATGATAACCTTGAATGTAAATGAATTAAATTCTCAAAGATACAGACAACAGATAAAAAACCATGACCCAAATATATGCTGCTGACAAGAAACACTCTACCTCTGACATACTGATAAAGTGCTAAATCCAGGGACAGGATTTAGCAATTCTAATTATATAAGTGCCCAACCATATTCATAAATTGAGATTTATCCTGGGGATGCAAGGATGGTTTAAAATACATAAATCAATAAATGTAATACATCACATCAACAGAAAATAAACATAATTCATTACAAACAGAAGGACAAAAACGAAAACTGTATAGTCTCAATACACCCAGTAAAAGCATTTGATAAAATTCAACATTCCTTCATGATAAAAACTCTCAACAAACTGGGCTTAGAAGGGACATACCTCAAAATAACCAAGGCCATATATGACAAACTGATAGCTAACATTATATTGAATGAAAAAAAAGTTGAAATCCTTTCTTCTAAGAACTTAAATAAGACAAGAGGGCCCACTTTTACTGCTCCTATTCAGCACAGTACTAGAAGTCCCAGCCAGAGCAATCAGATAAAAGAAAAAAAAAATAAAAGATATCCAAATTGGAAACGAGGAAGTCAAAATGTCCCTAATTGCAGATGACGTGATCTTACATTTAGAAAAACTAGAAGTCTAAACCTAAAAACTCTTAGAACTAATATGGAAATTCAATGAAGTTGCAGGATACAAAGTCAAGATACTAAAATCAGAAGTGTTTCCATGCACCAATAATGAAACAGCCAAAAAAAGAAATGAAGAACACAATCCAATTTACAATAGCTGCAAGAAAATATAGTACATAGAAATAAATTTAAGTAAGAAATGGAAAGATCTCTGTAAGAAAAACTACAAAACACTGATGAGAGAAATCAAAGTGGACACAAACAAACTGAAAGACATTCTATTCTCATGGACTGGAAGAATTAATATCTTTAAAATGACCATATTGCCAAAAACATTCTAGAGATTCAATATGATCTCTATCAAAATACCAACATAATTTCTCACATAAATAGAAAAAAGAATCCTAAAATATCATGGAACAAAAACAGCCTGAATAGACAAAGCAATCCTGAACAAAAAGAGCAAAGCTGGAGGAATGACACTACCTGATATCAAAACATATCACAAGGCTTTGTTAACCAAAACAGCCTAATATTGATATGAAAACAGACACTTATGCCAATGGAACAGAATACAGCATCCAGAAATAAATCTACATATTTAGAGCCAACTGATTTTTAACAATGGTTCCAAGAACATATACTGGGGAAAGGGCACCTTCTTCAATAAACGGTGCTGCAAAAATTAGGTATCTATATGCAAAAGAATAAAACTGGACCCTATCCTTCACCATATACAAAAATTAACTCATAATGGATTAAAGACTTAAACATAAAGCCCAAAACTATAAAACTACCAAAAGAAAACTTTGGGAAAACATTTCATGACATCAGTCTGAAAAAACTTCATGGCTAAGGCTTAAAAGCATTGAGAAATAAAACAAAAATAGACAAATGGAAATGTATTAAATTTAAAAGCTTCTGTACAGCAAAGGAAACCATCATTACAGTGAGGAAGTAACCTGTTAAATGGGACAAAATATGTGCAAAATATTCATCTGACAAGAGACTAATACACAGAATTCACAAGGAACTCCAAAAACTGAACAACGGACAAAAAGCACATTAAAAAGTGGGCAAAGGCAGGTGTTCAAGACCAGCCTGGGGAACATAGCAATACCCCATCTCTACAAAAAATAAAATAAAAATTAGCTGGGATGTGGTAGCACATGCCTATAGTCCTAGCTACATGGGGGTTTGAGGCAGTGGAGTTGCTTGAGCCCAGGTGTTTGAGGTTACAGTGAGCTATGATTGTGCCACTGAACTCGGGCCTGGGTGACAGAGTGAGATCCTGTCTCTAAGAAAAACAAAAACAATGACAAAAACGGTTAGCAAAGGATTTGAACGGGTAATTTTCAAAAGAAAATATATAAGCCAGGTATGGTGGCTCATGTTTGTAATCCCAGCACTTTTGGAGGCCAAGGCAGGCAGCTCATGAGGTTAGGAGTTCAAGACCAGCCTGGGTAACATGGTGAAACACTGTCTCTACTAAAAATAAAAAAAAATTAGCCAGGCAGTGGGGTAGGTGCCTGTAATCCCAGCTACTCAGGAGGCTGAGGCAGGAGAATCACTTGAAACTGGAAGGCAGAGGTTGCAGTGAGCCGAGATCATGTCACTGCACTCCAGCCTGTGCAACGGGAGCAAAACTCCATCTCAAAAAAATAAAAGAAAGAAAATATGTAAAAGGCAAACAGGTATATATTTTTAAAACGCTCAACATTGCTAAGCATCAGGGAAATGCAAATCAAAATCACAATGAGATATCATCTTACCCCAGTTAGAATGGCTGTTATTTAAAAATAAATAAATAAATAACGAATGTTAGAGAAGATACAGAGAAAATGGAATTCTTCTACACTGTGAGTGAAAATGTAAGTTAGTATAACTACTATGGAATGCAGTATGAAGATTTCCCTAAAAACTAAAAGTAGAACTGCCATACAACCCAAAAATCCTACTACTGGGTATCTATACAAAAGAAAATAAATCAGTATATCAAAAGGACACCTGCACTTGCTTGTTAATTGCAGCACTATTCACAGTGGCAAAGGTATGGAGTCAAGCTAAGTGTTCATAAAGAGACAAATGGATAAAGAAAATATGGCATATATAAACAATGGAATACTATTGGCCATTAAAAAAGAATAGTCATATCACTTGCAGCAACATAGATAGAACTGGAAGTCACTGTGTTAAATTAAGTAAGTCAGGCACAGAAAGACAAATTCCACATGTCCTCATGCAGATTGAGAATAAAGTGATAGATATCCAAGTCTGGGAATAGAGTGAGGGTAGGAAGAGCCAGTGAAGAAAGGTTGGTGAATGGGTACAAACTTATAATTAGATAGAAGAAATAAATTCTAATATTTAATAGTAGACTAGGGTAACTATAGATGTCAACAATATATTATATATTTCAAGGTAGCTAGAAGAGAGGACTTAAAATGTTACCAACACATAGAAATGATAAATACTCAAGGTGATGGATATTCCCAAATACCCTGATGTAATCATCACACATGCTGCACATGTAAAATGCACTCATATCTATCCTATAAATATGTAAAATACTATTTATCTACAAAAAGCAGAGTAATAGTTTGTATGTGTGGGCGGGGGAAGAAGGTACATGGGAAATCCTTGAACTTTCTGTTCAATTTCATAATAAACTTAAAACTACTCTGAAAGAATATAGCATATTAAAAACAAAAATGTGATAAATAATTAAAACATTGAATTATTAGGTCCTATTTCGTGTAGCATGTGAAGACTTTTTAAAAAGTGATCTTCATACAGCTTTATAAATCTTCATAAAACAAATTCTGAGAGTTGATAGGCATTAATAATTTATACTATAAAAGTGAAATTACTACACGTGAATTTTATTTCATTAGCATTCAGCCCCCTTAGTTAGACACATATTGCCACATGTTGGCAAAAACCACACTGTTGTTTTTTTTTTTTCGGGACACAGTCTTGCTTTGTCATCCAGGCTGGAGTGCAGTGGCATGGTCTCTGCTCACTGCAACTTCTACCTCCCAGGTTCAAGTGATTCTCCTGCCTCAGCCTTGCCAGTAGCTGGATTACAGACAAGTGCCACCACACTATACTAATTTTTTTGTCTTTAATAGAGACAGGGTTTCACCATGTTAGCCAGGCTGGTCACAAACTCCTAACCTCAAGTGATCTGCCTGGCTCGGCCTCCCAAAGTTCTGGGATTACAGGCATTAGTCACCACACTCAGCCCACATTGGTTTCTATTGCTGCATTGTGGAATGATTTATTAGTCAAAAGACAATGCATGAATGATGCAATATACCAATAAGGAAAAGTCAACAATAAAATGACATTACACCAGGATGTCAAGGGGAGAGTTAATATTCTCCCAAATTGATCATGTTTCTTCAAAATAAAAGAAAGTTTTTTAAAAACCCCAATGTTTAGAATAGGCTTTCTAAAAGGATTCTGTGCCCTTCCCTGTAATTTTGGACTTTAAAATAAATTAATTAAATGTTTAACTTAATAAGTGAGTCATCAGCAAATAAATAATTTAACTTATACCTTATGGGTTGGTTTTAAGTTTTGCCTTGTGCTTGTGATGCAATCAATGTACTATTTGTCCAGTAAAGGAAGAACATAAGGGAATTTAGTGCAGAATCACACCTTTCCAAGTATAAGCAATCAGATCCAAAAAGATGAGCATCCAGAAGATGCAATATTGGAAAGAAGAGTCCACCTTCAAGGGAGACAGAGAGTCCCATGAGCCAGAATGAATGAGGAAAAGGAAACCAAATTGGGTGGCCTTTCTTTATTATGTTAAAATAATTGATATGATTTGTCTCAAAAAAAATAAGGTAATAAAAACTGGAGAAACTCACTATAAAATCTATTCATTTTTATGGATCAATTCCATTTGCTCATTAAATTCTGCAACTGAGGAAAACAAAACATAATATATTTGCATTTTAACTCAAAGAGTGTGTCTTGGAATACATCAATATTCAAGTCAATAATTTTTTAATTACTTCATTATAACCATATTCAAAGGTACTCATATCTATTATCACTCAAAGGTAAAGTGTGAAAATGGTGTCCTTGCTAGTAAGTGTGTGGAATAGCACCTAAAACAATTTATCACTTTTAAGCAGTAAGTGAAACCGCAGGAACTGATATACACAGCATTCTTTGGAGGGTCTCCTCATAGTTCTGGGGGTTTCTATTTTCCCAATAGGTTTCTAGCTAAATTTCACCACTTGTTCCTTTCTTCTTCCAACACACCTTCATGCTCACTAAAGATTAATTGCCCATAAAAAGTGTTTTCCTCACATGACTATTCAAAAAAATCTTGTAATGGTTCTCTGTTTTCTACCTCATCAATAATGTACTCAATGAACTTCAAAATTTTCTAAGAATTAAATCTATCCCAACTTCATTTCTCATAATAGGTCACCATAGGAAATTTCTAAGCTTTGTCATTTTTTAAAACATGTAATTCTCATTCTAACTTTGTAATTTCTCTTCTATTATCACAGCCTCCTTCCCATTGGAGTGTTCTCTATATTCTTTTCTCTCACTTAAACGTGACACTTTGTAAAAGCTCAATCCAATTACCACCTGCTTAACAAAATCTCTGTGAGATTGGGGCAGCAGTTTAAAGTGCAGTTCCTGTGTACTGACTGGTTGGACTCAAATCTTTGTTCTGCTGCAAACTTTTGACTTCGGTTAAATCACTTACTCTTTCTGTGCCTCCATTTCTTCATCTGCAAAAGAAAGATGAAAATACCATTTACCTTTTAGAATAGTTGTGAGTAGCAAATGAAATATGAATGTAGATGACTTGGAACACTATCTAAGAAATCACTTAATAAATATTACATCATCATCACCACCAATAGCAATTTAGTAGTAGTAGCAGACTATTAGACAACTCTTAACCTCTTCTCTGTAAGTGATAGAAAAGTCACTTTGTATATCTATGACATACAATTTAGCTCTTAATTATATGTGGGTTAGTATTATTTGCTATTGTCTTATGTATTACTCTAGTTCTGTCTCTTCAAATACATTAAAAATCCTAAAGACTAGAAACTCAATCTTTTGCTTTTTAGATGTCTTCCAGTATCCACTACTGGAACTTGCACTACGGTTACAAAGCAATGACAAACCAAGGCTGGAGTCTGGTGTTAACAGAAGCAGTCTATTCTGGAGGTAGGAAATAAGGGAGTACATTATCTATAAAGAATTTTAAAACAAAGTTGGTGTGGATACTATCATCACCTCACACCAACATTTTTAAACAACATCACTGATAAAATATACCTCCATGCTGGGGGTAGACAACTACCTAATGATACCCTACCCCCACTATTCCTCCTAAATCAATGCTCTAACATCACCCTTGCAGGAATTGGATTTTCCTGGTCAGTTTTGGGGTTTCTGACACATCTAACTGAACCATTATTTTTCAATATTTTTACTATGTTCCACAGTACAAAATATATTTTAAATCACAGCCCAGTATGTACAGAGATACACATATATGTTTTACAGGAGTCATGTGACTATTAAAATGTTATGGCACTGACTTTGAAAAAAAAATTGCTCTAATATTATCCTTAGCAATCCAAATTAGAACTACCAAGAACCTTTTCTAAAATGAGTTAGGTAGTTACCATGTGGTCCTGTGAACCAACACTGAAACAAACTAGACTTCTGATACTGAGGGGTAAAAAAAGAAATGAAGGACTTGATTTACTTTCTCAGGCCTCCTAAACAAATAGGCATAAACAAGAGATAACTGTATACCAAAGCTAATACCCAGGCTCAGGGATGAATATGACCTGGACTCCCCAACTTTGCTCTTCAGAATTTTTATTCCCAAGTGTGACCCTAACCATCTCTCAATTTCTCTTCCATTTCTATTCCCCATCTAAAATATGCTTATGACTCATTAAATTCTAGCCAAATTTTTATTCAATTCCAAATTCATATAATACCAAAGCTCATCAATGTCCATGCTTTTCTAGACCATGTGTTTTGTTTTGTTCTGTTTTTTCATTCATCTCCAGTGAATATACTCTTCAGTTGTCTCTCTCACTGTCTATACATAAATCAAGTACTTGTCACTGGAGGAATTACTTTATGCCCATAATTCATGAATTAAACCAGTCATGATGCAATACTAGTCAGGATTTCCTCAGGAAGGCTATAGTTAGAAGCCTAATTAACAGCCAGATGAAAAATTTAAGCTTAATGACACATTTAAAACATTACAAATTATTCATTCTTATCTACTCTTTGGTTAGGGAAGAGACCACGTGTAAACAGAGACTTTATTATTATTATACAATTTCCAGAAATGTAAACAACTAAAATTTTATCAAAAATGCCTAGATAAATATTGAAAAGAGGATGATGTATTCCTAGTTCTACATGAATGGCCATTTTCTTCACATCAACTAAGCTGATGACTCTAAATCTGTTTCAATAGGGACTGTAGGGATTCATTACAGATCGATATGCATATTTTCATTGACTAGCTAGTATTAATATGGGCTATTATTTCTTCTAAGCCATGGTTTTTCTAATTGCTAAAAATTAAAAATATAAATATTATTTACAGTTTTCTGTATGCTCATAATATAATATAGCAGGAAATTACATGAGAACATTTAACTATTAAAGTTAAGTGAAGGAAAAATAAAATCCTTTGCAAACAAGCAAGTACTCAGAGATTTTGTCACCACCAGGCCTGCTTTACAAGAGCTCCTGAAAGAGGCACTACACATAGAAAGGAACAACCAGTACCAGCCATTCCAAAAACACACTAAATGCCAAAGAGCATCAACAAAATGAAGAATCTACATCAACTAACGGGCAACAGCCAGCTAGCATCAAAATGGCAGTATCAAATTCACACCCCAAATGTAAATGGGCTAAATGTACCAATCAAAAGACAGAGACTGTCAAATTGGAAAAAAAATGAAAACCCATCAGTGTGCTGTATCCAGAAAATCCATCTCACATGCAAGGATACACAAAAGCTCAAAATAAAGGGATGGAGGAAGATTTACCAAGCAAATGGAGAGCAAAAAAAAAGCAGGAGCTGCAATTCTCATCTCTGATAAAATAGACTTTAAAGCAACAAAGATCAAAAGAGACAAAGTAGGCCATTACATAACGGTAAAAGGATAGATACAACAAGAAGAGCTAATGATCCTAAATATATATGAACCCAATACAGGAGCACCCAGATATATAAGGCAAGTTCTTAATGACTTACAAAGAGACTTAGACTCCCAAACAATAATAGTGGGAGACTTTAACACTCCACTGTCAATATTAGACAGATCAACCAGACAGAAAATCAACAAGGATATCCAGGGCTTGAACTCAGATCTGGAACAAGCAAACCTGATAGACATTTACAGAACTCTCCACCCCAAATCCACAGAATATACATTCTTCTCAGCACCACATCACACCTAATCTAAAATTGACCACATAATTGGAAGTAAAGCACTCCTCAGCAAATGCAAAACAACGAAAATCATAACAAATAGTCTCTCAGACCATAGTGCAATCAAGTTAGAACTCAGAATTCAGAAACTAACTCAGAACTGCACAGCTTCATGAAAACTGAACAACTGGCTCTTGGATGTTGACTGGATAAACAATGAAATGAAGGCAGAAATAAAAAAGTTCTTCGAAACCAACGTGAACAAAGACACAACATACCAGAATCTCTGGGACACATTTAAAGCAGTCTCTAGAGTAAAATATGTAGCTATAAGTACCCATATGAGAAGAGTGGAGAGATCCAAAATTGACACCCTAACATGAAAATTGAAAGAGCCAGAGGAGCAAGATCAAAAAAACTCAAAACCTAGCAGAAGACAAGAAATAACTAAGATCAGAGCAGAACTGAAGGAGATAGAGACACAAAAACCCCTTCAAAAATCAATAAATCCAAGAGCTGATTTTTTGAAAAGATCAACAAAATAGACAGACCACTAGCCATACTGATAAAAAAGAAAAGAGAGAACAACCAAATAGATGCAATAAAAAACGATAAAGGGGAAATCACCACAGATTCCACAGAAATTCAAACCAACATCAGAGAATATTACAAACAACTCTATGCACATACACTAGTAAACCTGGAAGAAATGGATAAATTACTGGACACCTGTGTCCTCCCAAGCGTAAACCAGGAGGAAGCCAAAACTATGAATAGACCAATAACAAGGTCTGAAGTCGAGGCAGCAATTAAGAGCCTACCACACAAAAAAAGTACAGGTCCAGATGGGTTCACAGCTGAATTCTACCAGACACAGAAGAGGAGCTGGTACCATTCCTTCTGAAACTATTCCAAATAATCCAAAGAGAGGGAACCTTCCTAAATCATTTTATGAGACCAACATCATCCTGTTACCCAAACCCGGCAGAGACCCAACGAGAAAAGAAAACTTCAGGCCAATATCCATGATGAACATAGATGCATAAATCTTCAATAAAATACTGGCAAGCTGATTGCAACAGCACATCAAAAAACTTATCCATAATGATCAAGTAGGATTCATCCCAGGGATGCAAGGCTGGTTCAACATACGCAAGTCTATAAACATAATTCACCAAATAAGCAGAACCGAAAACAAAAACCACATGATTATCTCAATTGACACAGAGAAGGCAATTGACAAAATTCAAGAGCCCTTTATGCTAAAAACCCTCAATAAACTCGATATCGGTGGAACGTATCTCAAAGTAATAAAACTATTTACGACAAACCAACAGCCAATATCATACTGAATGGGCAAAAACTGGAAGCATTCCCTTTGAAATCCGGCACTAGACAAGGATGCCCTCTTTCACCACTCCTATTCAATATAGTACTGGAAGTTCTAGCCAGAGAAATCAGGCAAGAATAAGAAATAAAGGGTATTCAAATAGGAAAGGTGGAAGCCAAATTGTCACTATTTGCAGATGACATGATATACCTAGAAGACCCCATCGCCTCAGCCCAAAAACTCCTGAAACTGATAAGCAACTTCAGCAAAGTCTCAGGATATAAAATCAATGTGCAAAAATCACAAGCATTCATCTACACCAATAACAGACTTAAAGAGAGCCAAATCAAGAATGAAATGCCATTCACAATTGCTATAAAAAGAATAAAATACCTAGGAATACAACTCACAAGGAACGTAAGGAACCTCTTCAAGGAAAACTACAAACCACTGCTCAACGAAATGAGAGAGGACACAAACAGATGGAGAAATATTCCATGTTCATGGTTAGGAAGAATTATATTGTGAAAATGGCTATACGGCCCAAAGTAATTTACAGAATCAATGCTATCCCAATCAAGCTACCATTGACTTTGTTCACAGAACTGGAAAAAACCACCATGAACTTCATATGGAACCAAAAGAGAGCCCGCATAGCCAAGTCAATTCTAAGCAAAAAGAACACAGCGGGGGGCATCACACTACCGGATTTCAAACTATACTACAAGGCTACAGTAATCAAAACAGCATGGTACTGGTACCAAAACAGAGATATAGACCAATGGAATGGAACAGAGGCATCGGAGACAACACAACGTATCTACAACCATACAATCTTTGATAAACCTGACAAAACAAGCAATGGGGAAATGATTCCCTGTTTAATAAATGGTGTTGAGAAAACTGGCTAGCCATGTGCAGAAAGCAGAAACTGGATCCCTTCCTGACACCTTACAATAAAATTAACTCCA